CAGCTGCAATGGCTCCCAAGGCCTTCTTGGACATTCCCCCCCGAGAGGGTGGGGCCCCTGGTCAGACGCGGGGGCATGCGCGTGGGCGGCTGGGGCCTCGAGAGTGGCTGAGAGTGTAGGAGAGGGGATCGCAGACAGTGGGCGTCGTCCTGGATAGTCCGACCCGAGCCTTGGGCAGTCGGTGGTGCCTCCCTTGCGACGCTTTCTGCAAGGCGCTGGGCGGGGCGAGAGAACGTCGACGCGGGAACGGCGATTCAGACGCGCCTCGATGGTTTGACGTTCTGGAGGTTCGCGGTGGAGGTCGCTGCTTGGCAGATCTCGGCTGGGAGGGTGTTCATTTGGAGGGCCCCATGCGCCCCTGTCCTGGCAGACCCCAGTCTGGCAGAAATTTCTGGGGATAGACGGAGTCCTCTACGCCCTGACCGATCGGCGTCGTTGCGTCTTGCAGTTTTCTCCCCTCGGCGTGTCCCGGGAGCCCATTGGCTTCCCGTCCAGCTGGCTCGAGGCGCGGGAACGTTTCTCGAGTGCGAGTTTCTGGGGGGCCAGGCTCAGGCCCCTCGTGAGGGGGGGCGGGAGACCTCGGCGGCCCAGGTGCGCGTCCCCGAAGCTCGCGGAAGGGGCTGGCTCTGGCGGTTTCTCGGGGCAGGCGAGCGGTTCGACGGGGCGCGGGCATTCTTCTGGCAGAGATCGCATGCGCGCCGTCCCTCCCGCGTGAGCCTCGGGCGCGCGGGATTCCCGATGAAGTTCAGGGCCCTTGGGCCGTCGCCTTTCCCCGCCCCGGCCGGTGAGAGAGACGCCTGGGAGATGGGGGTGGGGGTCAGTCCGCAGAGCGGTGGCCCCTCCACTCAGTCTGAAGCGCCGCGGACCTCTTCCCCCCTCCTTGTTCCCAGGGCCGAGATGAACGTGGTTCCGCTCGCCCCGGGCCGATGCCGCGGAGGCGCATCGCGCGCGGGGGGGAAGTTATCCCTGCCCGTCTTTCCCGAAGGGGTCGAGCATTAGGGCGTGGGCGAGGACTGGCCGGGCGAGCCCGCCGAGGAACCCGACGCGGCCGCCGGGGGAGACGGCGCGGGGCTGGGCCAAGAGAAGCCGCCCGAGCAGGAGGCGCCTCTTTCGACGGGGGTGGCGGCCCGCATTCGCGCGGCGATCCATGGTTTGCGCGTGCTCTCCGCGGTTTGGCGTGGCGTCGCGCGGATTGCGTGGGGCGCGAGAGTCTGGCTCACTTGCCGGTGGTGGGGCCTGGGGCTGCCGTTTCCAGGGCTCAGAGCGCCGTGTGGATTGCCGTGCGATCCCGCCTCTGCAAATGCTCCTTCCGCGACGACCGTCGGCTCCGAGTCTCTGTCTTGGGGGCGCCAGAATTTGAGGATGCCTCCGTATTCCTACATTGCCCTGGTCTCCCAGGATCGTGCAGTCTGGGGGTTTTGTCGTAGTCGGCTAGGAGGGCAGCGCGGTGGAGCTGGCTCAGCGATTCGGGCCCCCTGTCCACGCGCGTGCCCGCCGGGCCAGAATATTTAGAAGGTGTTCCTCGTGGTGGGGCGAGGCTGCAAGTTGCGCGGCTGGAGTCTCGGGGCGAGCGACATGAACCCCGGGGGGCCGGTGGGGCGAGAGACGGGCCCAGAATTCCAGAGAGCTCCGGAAACCTGGTCGCGTTAGCAGAAGTCGACCAGGGCGTTCCCGACGCGCTGCCCCTGCCCATGCGAAGGAGCTGCAGGGCGAGCAGGTCCTGTCTGGGACTGTTCACGCATCGATGAGTGATCACATGTCCTTTTGTGGCTGGAGCGGAGACTGACGGTCCTATCTGAATGAGGGCGTCAATGTGTGCGTGGATGTTCGGTCAGGCCAGCCCGGCCATTGTCTCTTCCTGGCCGGAGTTCGATATTTGTGACCAGGTGAGGTGGGCCGCTGTGAACGGGTCCGGGGCTGCCCGCCCCGCCCCCCCGTTACCCGGGTCATCGGGCGAGGGATAGGAAGCGAGCTTCTTGGCCGCGTTGTGGCCGGCCGCGTGGTCCGAGGGCGGAAGCCGCGGGAGGGGGCGTTTTCCCGTCCAGGGCCAAACAGTTTTAGCATTAGACACTTCCGTGGTAGAACGGCGCCGGAATTTTTCCAGTTGCGAGTTCAATTTGGCAAGCCTCGCTGGGTAGACGAGATGACGGAGTGGAGTGCGTCGGCAGGAGATTGCGGTTTTTCTTGACAGAGTGCTAGTTGACCAGAAGAAGTATATCTTCGATTCTTTATCGAAGATCGATCCCCCCCGTAATAAGGGGCGGCAGCCACAGTGCGCCGTTGCTGGATCTCGAGAGAGTGCCGTTCAGGTCCTCAGTGTATCGTTTGTCGTGGGTTGGCGCGGAGACGAGAGCAGGCGTGTCGGGTGCGGCCTCGATTCTGGCGTCGGCCGTGAGGGGGCCTGCCGTGGGGGACTTGCTGCATGCCATAGAGGCTGTGGAGCTTCTTGGAAATGTTGCCAGCGTCCTTATCACCGGGTGGAGGTATCGGCCCGGGTCCATGAGTTTCGGGGCGGCGGGCGACTTCTGAGAGATAGGTAGTCACCCGCCAGATCGGATTCAGCAT